CTGGAACTCAGTGTGGATTTACACGAATTCGTACTGAAGGGATGGCCAAAATCCGGCAGATAGATGACTCAATGTGCTTCCGCTGAATGAAACTGCCAGAAATACTAAGTCTATATTTCGTTCTTTTGTCTTGAGATCATCGATTTGTGTCAGTTTGCGAGTCTAACCAAACGAGCTTATAAGTGGTGTTCGAATTAAGACATTTATTAGGCCACTCAAGATTTTATTGTACCTCCTCAGCTAGTTCGAGTCTGGGACCCACCAAAATCATTAAACTTGGGAAGTGATCTATGGTAAACAGCACACAAAAGATTATGGAGAACGAGAGATTCGGCTGGACTTGGCGAATACGCACAATTTGGGTCGGCCTCACGGAAATTCGGCGGAGAAAGCGCCTACACGATGAGTCGCAAGAAAGGCACAACCGGTCATGGGCTGTCAAAGGGTTCCTTATAAGTAGTTCCCTTCAACAAGGAGTATGCACTTTCAAAAATATAATGTACCCTAATACTTTGGTATCTTCGACTGAGGCTTGCAATCGAAGAAAGAACTATTCTGGTTTTGTAATACACTAATCATAAATTTGCTGGAAACTCCTCGAAAGCCAACAACCCGTTTCGCCCTTTTTGGGGCTCATCAGGTAGGCGCAGTCCCCGAGTTTACGTCAACCTTATGTTCTACTTGAAACCAAATTGCACGAACTTAGCGAACTATTCTGGTTCGAAAAAGATGTTAAATTTTCCCGTTGTTCTTGTGTTAAGCACGGAGTTACCTCGAGTCCAAAGCACCGTTTTCAGCTCCTGAAAACGGAAGCTTCGGTGTTGGAGCTCGAGATCGATGTGAGTAGTCATTCCATAAAGTTGAACAACACAGTCATGCGTCATCACCCATGAGCCGTTCCGATTCCCCGCTTAACGAGACATTGCTTCAAGAGATGGATACGAGAGAGTTGAAACAACCGTGAGACGGACCCTACTCAGCTTGGACCAATGAACAATCGTTCCACTTTTAGCCCAAGTCGTACTACTCACCTGACAGGTGATGACACAACACAGCTTTTTGACTAGCGTATGCGGTAACGGTTTTTGCACGAGTGTACAAACAAACTAACGCAAAAATCGATGCACGAGGCATCTCAGGTATGCCGTGAGCGGCTAACAAGCGGGTGCTTCGCAACAGTAATGTCGGACGGTCACAACGTCTGAACAATTCTATTTACAAGAGGATTATTTTTAATCTTGTTTACTGCACCGACTTTCCACAGCTTCAACTGTATGAAGTTTCGTGAATCCATGACACAAGTGACGATCCTAATGTCATCAGGTTCGTGTGCGAGAGAGCACCCCCGGATATTGTGGAGTAGTAGAGGAAACATAGGGGGTATTGGAAACAAGATCGCCCCCACCCACCGATGTACGGATGGTTTGCTGATTTACCCTGCCTCTCATAGTGGTGTTGGGGATAAGAAACCGTTAGGGAAGGCACTCTTTTGGTTGTCCAAGTTTGGGTCACTATTGCACCGTTTGGGTTAAAGCTTCATGCCGAGTGTGGACCAACGGCTAAGGAGTTGCGTGATAAGTACCCTACAGGTTCATCAGCGACTCACGTGATACCCTATGTATCGTATTCGGTAAGTTCGACCACTGAGCCAATGAAACTCCAACTCGTCCATGTGGGCATACCACTCCTCAAGAGACATCACTTCTAGAAAGATGTTAATCGGAAACTCTCTAATAGATGCGATCACCCCCAAGAAGGAGCACTTGCAGTCACCCTCTTAAGTTAGCCTACCCAGGAGGAACGACTACATGTTTCAGTAAAACCGATGAGGATTTACACTGGAACGGCTGCATCGTCATCGATTTAGACCGGAATCTCCAAAGGAAGTGGATGCATTCACAGGAAATTCCGTTAGTTTTCTGAGTGGTTTGTTTGCACACCATCGCTTAACTTTGATGCACTATGATCTACTCCGGTCAAAGTTGGCAACAGTACTTACAAGTCGGTATTGTACAAACAAATGTTGCTGGCGGTCGTAAAACTAAGTTTAGCAATGCTGGGATAAAATTGATCGCGCGGATGGGTTTCTTAAGTTGTAAGGTCACCTTCGCAAGCACTAGATTTGGGAGCCCGGCTTCTGGGCGGTCACCGTTATCTCACCACATTGTTGTATCCTCATGCGCAATGCTCCTAGGGTTACCGAGCAAAATATCGTTCGGCAACGCAAATGCCGAAAGGGAAGATCCTCACTCGACATGGTCGCGAGAAGGGCGGCGTTGCGACCACATTACGTACCATCGTTCCGTACAGCGCGGGCTCGCATTCCATCGACCAGCTGCCTCACTTGGAGTAGAAAGACACGGCTCGTGTGGAACGAAACGAAACCAAGCAACACGGGTTATTTAGTACCTAGTTAGTCAAACGAATCCGTCTGGTGCTTTGTTTATCCACAACCTGAGTGTGGTGTGAATTGTGTAGGGCGGTGGTGAAGAAATACGACTCGTAGTATGCTACAAGACGCTGTTCTGGTGGATTTTTACTGTTACAGGTGCTCACTGTGCTTAATTTTGATTGTACCAGTGACGGTTTGTTTGTTGTCACCTTACGAGTGTCGAGAACAGCCATTTTGTGGACCAATATGAACTGAGTTTGCATCTGGAATAGGCTTTTTCACCTTGTCTTTGATTGTGTTCACCGCAACTTATCGTAAATTCAGCAGGAGTTGTGTCTGTCAGCCGAGCCGTGAGAAATTACTGCCTCGTATTTTTCTACTCATTTTGCACGGCCCCTGTGCGCGGTGTGACAACGCTGAGAAAGTTGTACTCGATTTACTGTGAAAAAACGTGAAAGAAGCTGTACATCGTTCAATTTGTGGCTGCCAGCTAGCCACATCACTTTCCGCTGCTGTAGAGAGCTTGTTTTACTGTTCCTAATATTTCAGCTATGAAGGGCTTCTAATCAACGATGAAAGGTCATGCTTGAACAACACAGTTATGGGAACAACTCTTCTCTGGTCGTTCTCCGCTAAATCTTCAAAAACATTTGCACTGAATAGGGACTGCCCATGGGACATGATCACATTGATCGATCTTGGGGTGGTGGGGCGTCCATTTTCAGGACGAGATCGACCGACTAACTAATGTTATATGACGATTTCGTAAGCGTATATCATATAACTCCGTTTGTATGTGAACCTGTTTGAAACAGCACTCTCTCGTGGCGGACACCAAATGAGTGCCTCGAGGAACAAGACCACTCCCCACGTGGCTATTTGGGATAGATTTTTAGAAATAAAGGTTTAGTTGTAACATCTTCTTGGTGCCTAACCGACATACCACCCGAAGGAAGCACGAGGGTTGATATCCTGCCAGGTTGCCCAAGCCTAGGTAGGAGCAGTTGAGATCCTGAGGTTCGGTTCGAACCAGCCAGTAAGTGTGTGGGTTAACCATCGAGCTATGTCGAGCCATTTCTTGACATTCTCAACTTCGTGTTCACTTGAGCTGTGTGAATTAAATTTAGTTCTATTTATCAGCTACAAACCATGTACCATAGGCACTTTGGTTCCAGTGCTACAGTTTCGACCACTTGGAAGTGGGAGAGTGTGGGACACTGAAAGCGATGGCATGTTTGATTAGTTCAGGAACTGGGTAGCTACGAATTCAAGGCGGTTGCTTTGATGCAGGAGCGATTCTTACTGCGCGATCGGGCATTTCTCCCAGTGTCATTGACCACTGCTGGTTTGAGTGCGGGGTCCCCATCATTGGGAGGGCACAGTTGTCGACCCGACTCAGTTTACTTAGTTGATTACTGGTTAGCCTTTTCATAGGCTTAGTCTTAGTAGGTTCAGGGTATTCTGGGATTACTTTCAGGAATCTGGCCTTCCTGGCATCTCTCTTTTGGCTGTTCAACGTAAGATTGCCAGAGCCTGTACATCTGATTTCTGACAAGATTTGTATGGCATCTCGGTGTCAGCAATTTGCAACAGGACGCAGTGGACATTGCGGAGGGGTATGAAAGAGATTACGAAACGCTTGGGTGCTGTCGGTGCTACTTGACTTCCAGAATAGAGACCGGATGATCCCCAGTGTGCCTGGTTGGAGACACTGAAAGATATGAATAATCTACACTAACGGTATTCTTGTTGTCAGTTTTCCTCCATATTGCCAGAACGAGTAACTGGAGTTGTAGACACCTGGGAATGATTGTAGTAAGCGAGCACTAAGTTTGTTGCTCATCCACATTCATTCTTTCCTTAACAGTAAGGTCTCCAAGTAAATCATGGTTGTATGGCCGCGAGGCATCGGTGTTGATCACTGATGTCATTCCGTCGATTATGGTGGTGTTGAGAGCGTTCCCCAACTCCTGGGCCTTGAAAATCCACCAGCGTTCTTTGTGCTTCTTCAAGCTCCTGGTTATCTAGTGTTTGAAGGATCTCCTTGCGCCATCCCAGTCGCTAGTTGCTGGTATGACCGTTCTGGCAGCAATATGGCCTACTGATCTCGAAGATATCCACTATTCCTTTAGTGCAGTCAGATGGCTTGGACAAACACTGAAAGTTGAGAGCATGGATCTTTTTAACTCGCTTTCATTCAGCTTCCAAGCAATCATCATCCGCATGACTGCGTTTCTAGTAGCTTCCCGGCCAGGTCAGCTCGAGTCAAAAAAACTACTGAAGCTTGTCGAAGTTGACGAATGGAACTGCTCTGCTTTCGCTCTGAAAGTTGAGAGCATAGACTCTGACTTGTTTTCATTCAACTTCTGAGCAGTCATCACTCGCATGACTGTAATGCTGTAATGTGGATCAGATCTTTTGAGGTTAGTGAGTGATTATTTTGGTCTATTTTTCTGGGCGACGGTTGAGACACAAAACAGTGGCTAGGGGATCGGCAGATGGATTGATTGCGCTGCATTGTACAATTGGCGGGGATGGAGTTGGGAGAAGGAAGGTGAGCGATCTCCATTATCCATCAGCTGAACGCAGACTCAAATCTACCACTTACCTGTATTTCTTCCGGACTTGGTCGACCAACTTGAGCATACGCTGACAGCGAAGCATCAGTGTTGAACACTGATGTCATGCTGTCGATGATGATGGTGATGACGAGCATACACATCACTCGCTGGAATCACAATGTCCATACTTCTGGCTGACCGAAGCAGCCGTACCAAATCTTGATAAAAACCGTCCTTCTCAGTCTGTCGGGGCATGTACTGACGACAAATCAACACCGTTTACCGCATCGACCTGCATTGATCTAAATCGACCCAGGCAACCGCACACCACACAGGCGACTGGGATCCAGTCCAGTAAGGCGCTTTCAACCATGTGGCTGAGTGCAACTCCCTTACCGTAGATACTACGAGCCACTGCGTCAGGATCACCGGATACACGAAAGGTGAAATGTAGAACACCTGAGCTTGGCCTAAGCAGCTTGAGGTGCACGAACAAAGTGGGGTCTTGCATGCGTGTTTCGGAGACACAACATTCATCGATAAAGAGGGAAATCAAGTCTTCAGCAAGGGATGCTTGTTCCTCAATTTGATATAGAGTACGGATATTAAATGCTGTAATGTGGATCAGATCTTTTGAGGTTAGTGAGTGATTATTTTGGTCTATTTTTCTGGGCGACGGTTGAGACACAGAACAGTGGCTAGGGGATTGGCAGATGGATTGATTGCGCTGCATTGTACAATTGGCGGGGATGGAGTTGGGAGAAGGAAGGTGAGCGAGGAGCTGTAAGAGCAACTGACACTTCGCGGCTGCCCAGGCCGAGGAAGGGGGGTTGGTTGAGGTACCCTACCTTGAGCCTCTGACTCAAAAGTCTGATCCACGAGACAGCGGACAGTATGGTTTTCTTGGGGGATCCTTCACGAAGCCAATGACTCAATAGTCTGACTCACTTGGCTGTAGGGGACCGGCCTGGCCCGAGGGTGAAGGGAGTAGGGCATTACTGTCTCACTCCTGATGCTGCTGCGCACGGAGGATGCCTTTTGAGCAGAACCGGGGTCTTTGGTTTTAAATATATTTCGACCGTATTGAATAATGCGCCGGCGGTCACGGTCAACCGTTGGGCGATCGGAATGTGCAGTTTTTAGGACCGACTTTTGCTAACCCGTTCTTCCTCGGGGGAGGGGAGGCAGCAGGTGAGACAAGCCCACCCCGGCCCCGTTAGACTAGGTTTGAAACCAACCTGGGTGTCACCGAATAGAGTCTCCTTCCCTAACAAAGACCCGGATAGGAAGTTCGTGCTTCAGGTTATCCTACATCAAGGCACCACGTAGACGCGTGACTACTTGCAGCATATACAAGTGTGCTTCTAAGATTGCTGAAATTTACCAAAAAGATTTTCTGGTGAGTAAATCTCAAATACTACCGCAATCTCTCGAATATGTGAGGTTCCTGAAAGGCAGTGCACCAGAGTTCACCATCGTTCAAAGCCTGATAAACGCAAGAACGTTCAAAGCTCAGCTACTTAACACATTCGTTTTATCCATAGCGGAACTTCTGGATCTTTGCGAAGGATGGTAGGTCCCAAAGTTTAGAGCTCATTACCCCTTAGAATACAGTGTACGGCACTATCAGCCCCCACAACTCTAAAATAGTGATGTAAACTGTTAAAAACTAATACCCTCAAGCAGGGTCCGTTCTGGAGTAGGGCTCGCAAGGCTGGAACAAAGTGAGGAGAGTAACAAATGCGAGAGGCGAAAGTATTGGTGAATAAAAGTCTCAGATGAGTGAAAAACGAAGTACCTGGACTCGAATTTTAGTGCTTGCAACCATGCAGAACCGTAAGGCAATGAAAAGCAGAAAAGTCGGAGAAGTGGAACACACGACAGAATGCGGGTGGCCATTGAGAGTGAGAGAAACCTGGGGGTGGGTGGGAGACAAATTCCAGGGACAAGGAGAGTATAGGGGCTAACAGAAATCTTTATTAGTGATTCTGACCGGTAAGGTGACACAGTGAACCCCTACGTTTTTGGCCTATCAGGATTCCATGACCTGAACTCAGTTCACAGCCCGTCATCCATTTGTCGGCCAAGTTGAGCAGGCTGAACAAGACTGAATGCAACGTTGAAAATCTTGACTTCTGTCCCGTTTGTGGGATCTGCCGGAGCTTAATTCTGGTCCTCGAGAGCGGACAACACCAGCCCGACGCATTATTGGAGCCATCTAGTCCATTGGTGTTCTGAGAGAGTGGTGGTGACACGCTTGACTCGCATGTCAGGTGTGCAGAGTTCAAACCGCGGCACGACCAAGGGAGGGTATGGTTGATGAGTTCAAATAAGAGCGAAACTCGAGTCCACCGCTTCCCACCTTTGGTGTCGACTCACCAGAATGATTATCCCGGTACAGCAGGGTGGGAGTGATGTGAGCACGTATCCTGCAAATCCCAAAACCGCTCACAACCACGATTATTCTCAGCCAACGGACGTCGTCCGAGCACTGTTTCCCATATCACCTGCCAGCTTGCTCTAAACGGCGGTAACACTGAAACCGACCAAACGGACCGACGCTTTCCACACGTTAACAAGGGTGACCCAAAGTCAAGTGGCTACATGCAGTCCAAGTTGATCAACTGTATCCAATATGACGGGAATAGGTCACTTGTGCGACCCAGAAAGGTGGTCTATAGTCGTGGTGCGTGGTCTCATCTCAAAACCTCTGGAATTCACTGGTCATACGAATCAAAATCGAAAGGCCAAATTTATGTGCATAAAGAGTTTCATCTCGTTACTCATGTCCAACTCGGGTTCGCTCTCATGACCGCGACAGTGTATCGCTGATTTCTACGTCCATTACCAATACTTTTTACTATAAATGTCGGTGCATTCCTCATCCGTGACGGAGTACAATATAAAATATATAAGACAACCATTCAGCTGTAACACCCTTTCGGTCCCTAGCTACCACGCCAAGAGAAGGAAGCACGAGGGCTGGGATACTGCCAGGTTGCCCAAGCCTAGACACAGGAAGTCGAGAGGCAGAGGTCGGGTTCGAACCACGGACCTTCTGGTCAGTAAATTCGCCCCCTGTGACTAACGAAGGCACATTAAATGTTACCGTCGCGCCATAAGTGACGAAAGTGAAGAGGGAGACGCAGTGATGGGAAATTGCGTCAGGCATTCAATCTGCACAACCGATCTACTATGGCCCTGGGAGGATAACGAATATTGCAAAGAAACCACGAAATCACACCTACTCACGGCAGGCGAACGAGTGATTTCCTTATTGGGACGATAATTCGGAACTATCAACTGGACTGTAATAATAATAATAATAATCGTTCAGCTGTAACACCCTTTCGGTGCCTAGCTCCCATGCCACCCGGAGGAAGCACGAGGGCT